GTTTCTAAACTTTCTAGGGAAACAATTACAGATAACACTCTTAATAATGGTAGAGTGGAAACTGGTAGTGGTGTTGGTGTGCCTGGTCAAGTAGGTGAAAGTTCTGGTGGTTCTTCTGGTGGGAGTTCAGGTTCTAGTTCATCCAGTGCAGCTTCTCATCCTTCTCCTCCTACACATAATACTCCAACACCTGGTGATCCTGAACCTGCTATTCCTACTCCTGCTTCTCCTGTTGATGGGAGTAGTGTGGCTGCTGCTGACGGTCAAACTGGAAACAGCGGAAACAACACAACAGGAGAAACTACATCTAACCACGGAAATACAGCACCACAACCTTCTTCTCCTAACACACCTGATAAAGGTAATACTGGTGAATCTGAAACTACACTGACAGAGAACGGTACTGCATCTACAGAGAGGGAGTCCACCAGTAACCAAGAAAGTGTTGAAGGAANATCCAATTGTGATGTTAATTCGGATTCTCATGGTTGTCGTACATCCGTTGCTCCTCACGGATCTGGTGGTGGGAAGGAACCTAAAGAACAGAAGAAAGATGAAAATGAAGAAGAATTGAAAAGACGTCAAGAACTGGAACGGGAAAAGTCAGATCTTGAGGGTAAACAAGCAAGTCATCTTGTCAATAAACACAAAGGTGCAAAAGAAAACAAACCATTAAGTGTTTCTGAACCACAGGTACCTGAAGTTTCTCTTGGTTCTTCAGAGTCTTCTCCTGATGAACGAGCTAAACAGCTTTCTTCTCGTTCTTCTGATGCTCCTGAAGGGCCGACTAAACTTGTTTCTAAACTTTCTAGGGAAACAAATACAGATAACACTCTTAATAATGGTAGAGTGGAACCTGGTAGTGTTGGTGTGCCTGGTCAAGTAGGTGAAAGTTCTGGTGGTTCTTCTGGTGGGAGTTCAGGTTCTAGTTCATCCAGTGCAGTTTCTCATCCTTCTCCTCCTACACATAATACTCCAACACCTGGTGATCCTGAACCTGCTATTCCTACACCTGCTTCTCCTGTTGATGGGAGTAGTGTCGCTGCTGCTGACAGTCAAACTGGAAACAGCGGAAACAACACAACAGGAGAAACTGCAACTAACCAGGGAAATACAGCACCACAACCTTCTTCTTCTTTTAACAAACCTGATAAAGGTAATGCTGGTGAATCTGAAACTACACTGACAGAGAACGGTACTGCATCTACAGAGAGGGAGTCCACCAGTAACCAAGAAAGTGTTGAAGGAAATACAGATACAACCACCACCACC